GTTAAAAAGCCAGCAACTTGTTAAACTTCTGTGTGAGCTTGGTCAGGATAAAAAGGTTGCCTGGAGCCCTGGTTGGTGTGCTCAGTGGTTAAAGTACCATCCTCTGCACTGGAGACCTACGTTTGATCTTAGTTGGCGTGTGTGTGAGGAAGCCGATGAATGTTTCTCTCTCACATCGATGTTTCTCTCTCTAGAATCAATGAAAAACATATCCCCAGGTGAAGATTTAAAAAAAGAAGAAGAATAAAAAGACTGCCTGGACAACTGGCCAACCTGCAGGTGACCACAGTCCCAATGGGCACAAACAGTCCATCCCAGATAAGATGGACCCTGTAGTCTTATAAATGAAGCAAATGTTTATTGTTTTACACCACTGTTTGTTAGGCAGCATTGCTATGGCATAAATACCTGACACACCCAGGCTCCTGAAAGACTTTTCTTTTCCACTGAATTAATGGCCAAAATATGTAATCAAGTAAGTAAGAATTTAAAAACAGCATGTAAAAAACTCAGATCTTTTTGTGTATATTTCACAATTGCTCTATTTTCAGTATAAATATTTCTCTTCTGCCCAGCGGCATGGCTCAGTGATTTGAGCATCGAGCTATGAACTAGGAAGTCATGGTTTGATTTCCAGGTTGTGGGCTCGATCCCCAGTGTGGGACATGCAGGAGGCAGCCGATCTATAATTCTCTCTCATCATTGATGTTTCTATCTCTCTCTCTCCCTCTCCCTTCCTCTCTGAAATCAATTTTTAAAAAGTATATTAAAAAATATTTCTCTACATATGTTCCTTTATCTGAAAAGAATTAGGCTGCTCTACCTAAATTCTTTTACTCCATTAGTGGTGTTTCCCAATCTATTATTTACCACTTTGGCAAACACTTTACAGCTCCTTTAGAAAGTTAGATAGGCACTCACTGTAAAGCTCAGCCATTGCATTCTTAGAACTGGAAATATGTCTCCATAAAAACTTGTACACAAATGTCCATAACCTGGACACCATTTGGGTTGGTTAATTTCATGTGTTAAATTGACTGGGCCATGGGGTGCCCAGATATCTGATCTTAGATGTTTCTGGGTATGTCTGAATGAGATTAACATTTGAATTGGTAGACTGAGTCAAGCAGATTGTCCTCCCTAATATGGGTGGGCCCCAATCAGTTGAAGGCCTGAAAAGAACAAAATAGCTGACTCTCCTGTAAGAGAAAATTCTCCTGCCTAATGGCCTTTTCCCTTGCCTTCAGCTCAAACTAATACAACTGGTCTACCTGGGTTTCTACCGGCCTTTGAATTGGAACTTACACCACTGGCTCACTCTTGAACAACATGGGAGATAGTGGTATCTATCCCCCATGCAGTTGAAAATCCATATATAACTTGACTCTCCCCAAATTTAACTGTTGACCAGAAGCCTTACTGATAATATAAAGTCAATTCACACATATCTTGTAAGTTATATGTATTATATATTGTATTCTTACAATAAAGTCAGCAAGAGAAAAAGTTATTAAAAATCATAAGGAAGAGAAAATACATTTTCAGTATTTATTGCAAAAAAAATCCACATATAAGTGGACCTGCACTGTTCAAACTTGTGTTGTTCATGGACCAACTGTATGTATATATATTTCCGTTTCCTTTGGAGAACCCTAATACACCACCCATAAGTTCATCAACAGGTGAAGGGACAAATAATGGTATTCTCAGCAATAAAAGAAACACTACTAAAACCGACAACCATGAATAAGAACATTGTAAACATTATGTTAAGTGAAAAAAACAAATAGAGAAGAGTTCATATTATATGCTTCCATTTACATGAAATTCTAGAAAAAACTAATCAATAATGTCAGCTAGCAGATTAGTGATTGCATGAAGTTGGTGGTGAAGGAGAATTGACTAGAAGAAGCACAGGGGCCTTTTGGGGTGATAGAAATGTTCTTGACTGTGGTGATACACTTTTGGCATATCCATGTGGCAAACACAAATTATATATCAGTAAAGTTGATTTTACAGACAGAATTAGTCAGTCTGGCAAGGGGACATCCTTTTCTGATATCATATTCATTGATGCTTCAATCTATGTCAAATGAAGTTTAGATGGCCAAGCAGAATCCAAGCTTCGTTCATTCATTCATTTATTCACTCAGTCATTGGTTCACTGTGAGGTGCCTACTATGTGCCAAACCATGATCCAGGTAGATTTGGTCCCAGTCTATTTGAGGCACAGAGGGGAGATGAAGATCAGTCTTCTATCTTACTTCTAGGCAGTAACACCAACTCTTCTCACCCTTCCTCTCCTTCTCTCCATAAGCGACTCATTTTAGAGCTGACATGGCAAGTTAGAGGCTGGGCTGGTATCAGAACTTGGCATATTCTTGGCTTTTGGTCTTATACCAGTCAACCTCATATTTTCTCAAATACAACTGCCTGGATGTCTGAGTGGAGCTTGGTTTCCATATTTAACATAAAAACTCTGGAGCCACTGTTTCTGTTTGCACAAGTGAATAGCAGTTTAATCTCCAAGTAGTTTTTCATTAGGGAATGCTTCCCCAGACAATTTTGAAAAGGCATTTAAAAATAGGCTTAAATTGCGTGAGGTCTTCAATGCAAATGACAGAATTCTTATCAGCTTTAGATGGATTTGGCAAATGGATAAGTTACAAATTGTTAGTATTCTTGTCAGCTGTTTGGGGTCTTATCCCAGCTAGCCACATCTCTGTCTAATAAAGGCAGTGATAAAAAAATAGTCTTGCAGGCAACAATATAGTGATCTTGCTTTTGTAGTTAAAGAATTCATTTATTAATGCTTTCTGTAATGTTAAAATTGCTTCTCAGACTCCAGAATTCATGAAAAGAGGAATGCTTGATCATAAATCAATTTTGTCAAATGTACTGTATTTAAAATTCATTATGATGGAAATGTATATTATTGCTGACGATATTATGGTGTACCTTTTTGATATGAAAGAGGTGATACCCTGTTTAAGGACTTAACTCATACCACAAAAATGGCACACTTTCCTCAAGAGTACTGAGACGCACCATTTGAGAAAGGCTACAGGCCATGTATGGGAGCTGAGCATTGTTCAAGCTGGAGAGATGGTCCAGCCCATACCACAGCCAGCTGAATGCACTAATGTACTAGCTGCTTGAGTTAATCTGAAGACAGGAATCACAGTTTCTTCAAACAGACTTTTAGAGGGTCAAAAAGAATCATCAGAAAAGTAAAGGGATTCATAAAAAGAAACAGATCAAATTGACAGTGGACGGTGTTCTGCTGAATAAGAACTACAATCGGTGGCTGTTGGAGGTGAAAAGTGTGATGAGGACCACACTCAGCACCACCACTGCTCATCGGCTCAGACACTGGCTGAGACAGAACAGCGTGTGCGCAGGACAGGAAATTCTGTCATGTTTTAGCCACACACCCACACAAATAGCCTTCCCTGTCACAGCAGCATCCGTGTGGATGACAAATCAGGCACACACACTAAATGGCACATGCACTCACACAGGGAGTGAACCCACACACTTTTATTTACACTTTAGAAAGCTACTGGGCTGTTCACAAAGAATGGTTAGGAAACATGAAGTTCATTTTCACTGTTAAAAAGGTGTAGTTTATTCATTCACCTGTAAAAATAATTTTCCTGGCAGCAGCAGTTAACTTTTACCCTCCCATTTTAGAACTTCAAGTATTTGAAAGGCATTTAAGTTTTTCCCTGCTTTTATTTCATTTCTTACCTTCTCATAGTAATGGACCGACTCATGAAGTCAAAACATTTATTTTAAAAGAAATTTCAAATCTTTACTGGTGGGAAAAGGGACAAATAATCACTATTTTGGTCAGTATCCATGTAATAGTAATACATTTCTTATATTTTTTTAGAAAGAGAGAAAGTGGGAAATATAGACCTATACGTACAATTCAATGCAGAAAATAACAACAACACAAAACAAAAAAAACAACCACACAAAGGAGTGCCTGCCACATTACTGCTTCCATTTCTTTGTTAAAAGGGATCTCAAGTGTGGCTGCATTTCCACCTGCTTTCTTCCCAGGCCCTCTGTGCCACCACCCACAAATCTCTGCCTCTGGGGGAGCTGTTCATTGTTATTTGTCATGAAACCTGCACTTTGATATCCTGGGCTTCACATGGAATTTCAGAATCTCAAATGACACTACATAGGCTTGCTCTCAGTCTCCTTTTAGTGCAGTTTGGCAAATATCCCAAATGAACTTCAACTCTGAGTTAAAAGTATCAAACAGAGATAGGGCGAAATGCAGCTATGAGCTTCTGGGCTGCCCAGAGGCTCCGGAGAGCTCAGGACAGAAAACCCAATGGCCCCAAACTGAAGTGGCTGCGGACACCTGCCTCGTTATCATCCCAGAACAGTCCGCCACAGAGACAGAAACACCTGAGAAGGTCTCCTGGCTCAGGGCTCTTGGGTACCATGAATATCTTTAAAGGGCAACAGCCCCTGCACACCACTTTGCCCCCATCCCCATAGAAAGCATTGTCGTCCTCCCCACTCCACCTCCAGCGTTAAGGACAGCAAGCACTGACACAGAACCCTGACCCCTCGGTGGTCTCCTCCCCCCACTCCAGTGCTCTCTGTCACTAGGCTCTCTAGCTGCTCAGTTGAAGTGCGCTTTGGTTTTGATGCTAGAAAAGTGGTTATAAAGCTATCTGGGGAGACCGCCACTAGATGGCCACGTCACTGGGTCTGGCCTGACTTGCTGCCTTCCTGGCCTTGCTTGACCGTCTGGGCTCTGTGGGCAGCAAAGGTGGCATGTGCATCTCCACAGCGGGGTCACTGCCTGCTGCTGCTCATCAGGAGTTACTTCCATCTGCTCTCTCCCAGGATGCTGCTGTCCCCATTCTCCAACACGACAGATTCTTTGCTGCCTTCTCTGCCCTCCTGAGGGGTCTGCATGGCCTGCCTGGAGGGGTACAGGATAGAAGGGCACCCCAAGTACCAGTGTCTGTGGCCTAGTGGGAGGGGAGTGGGATCACTTCCCCAGATATTGCTGCCCCGACCCTGGATTCAGCGGTGTCTGGGCCATAGTGGTTGGTCATGCCCTGTTTAAGCTTCTTCCAGCCCAGGTGGTATATCTCTAGCACATTGAGTAAGAGGGACAGGCAGGCTACGACCAGCATGAAGATGATGAAGACGGTCTTCTCTGTGGGCCTGGAGATGAAGCAGTCCACCATGTTGGGGCAGGGCCACCGGTCACAGTGATAGAGCGGCTTTAGCTCAAAGCCATACAGATAGTACTGTCCAGCGATAAAGCCCACTTCAAACAGTGTCTTAAAGATGATATTGAATATGTAGGTCCGGAGCAGGGCCCCAGCAATTCGGACCTTGCCCCGGTCGTCCCGCAGAATGAATTTGTCCTTCTGGCTGTGGTTCCTGGGCCCACACTGCCCATCGGGTCTGAGGTGTAGGCTGCCTCCCTTCAGCTTCTCTTCCTCCCTTCCTTTCTTCTTCTCTTCCATACGCACGATGTGCAGCACATGCCCCAGGTAGATGAGGGTGGGTGTGGACACGAAGATGATCTGCAGCACCCAGAAGCGGGTGTGGGAGATGGGGAAGGCTTTGTCGTAGCACACGTTCATGCAGCCTGGCTGCTGGGTGTTGCAGGTGAAGCCTGACTGCTCATCTCCCCACACCGACTCCACCCCAGCTCCCAGCAACAAGATTCGGAAGATGAACAGGACTGTCAGCCAGACCTTGCCAATGACCGTGGAGTGCTCCTGTGCATTCTCCAACAGTCTCCCCAGGAAGCTCCAGTCTCCCATTTCTTCAGACTCCAGCCTGTAAGGGGACATGCTTGTTAATAACTGGGTAGGACAGGTGAGCTGTAGTCCAACTGCCAAAGGGGCAGGTGTCATTGTCCTTGAGGAATGGAATATCTGTCATTGGATGGCTGTCCTAACACTTCCCAACGTGGGATGTGCTACAGAGCTCTCCACAGCCCTGTATGTTCATGTGTGTGAATAAGTTTGTGTGCACATGTACATGCACCTATGTTAAGCTGTATACACACATGTGCACACCTACACATGTGTTCACACCTGTGCATGCATATACATGTCAGTGAAAACATATGTGCATAATGTGAGTGGTTACATGTACATGTGTGTGCATACCTGCCTCTGTGTGAGTGCAGGTATTGCACCTGTATACATTTTATAGTGCATGTGTGCTGCATGTGTGAAGTTTGTGTGAACATGCATGCACAATGCTTTCATATGTGTGTGTTAATGTGCACATTGTAATCTGTGTGCACATGCCTCTGTGTGTACATTTTCATGTACATATGTGCATGTACCAGTGTGTGCACACACTTATGTACATGCATGTGTCAGTGTGTGGAGTGTATACCTATCTCTATATAACTGTACATATTGCTCACCAACATGCCACATAGTCTACAGCACTGATATAGTTCTGTAGTTACCCTACTCAAGCATGGATTAAATGAGAGAAACACAGGTTACTTAACTCACGTCAGAGATAAGGAAATAAGATCAAGAAAAACAAGTGACTTTCCTAAGGGACACAGACCTCTCCCAGCCTCCTAACACCAGCCTGGGCTCTTCCAGGCTCTGTCTCTGGGGCTTCCTGTGCAGCCATCCAGTTCCTCATCTCACCTGTCCTGCTCACGTGAGGTTAGAGCAATGTTTTCCCAGATTGTGCCGAGCTCATTCCACCTTCATAACTTCTGCCGTATTAATCTGTTACCTCCTCCACTTTTTACCTTCCTTTTGAC